TGTGTTTGGTACCATGTTCACCTTAACAACACCAACCACACTCCTCAAATTCTTGTTTGGAATTGTGGCAGGGTGTGCATGAGCACAAGCCAGGTTTTATGGGGCGATTTGGTTACCTGAAGGTTAGGAAAGCAGAAAGCCTTTGAGGGTATAATTTCCTGAGGTCAGCAGAGCTTCAGGGCAAGAGGAAGCATTCTGCTTTTGGTGCCATAATGTCTCCACACAGAACTTGTTGAGGTCTGTGCTGTACTGTTGCAAAGCATTGCTATTTTTCATAGCAATGTGCTTTGTGTGGCATGCTGCTGCAGAACAGGGTGCTTGGTGCTTACCTGCTCTGCTGTTCTGGCCGTGCAGTCTTTGCCCCTGCTTGGTGCACACCTGGCATAACCACGCAGCCTGATGCTAGCAGTGTCCTTCCTTGGCCCTTGCTGCCAAGATTTCACTTGATCAGCTCTTGGCTGGGAGGGGAGGGCAGCATGGTGCCTGGCAGGTAGCAGGTGGGGGTGCTGTGTTAGACTCAGGGGTTGTCAGTCGGGAAGCACGTGGCTTTACATCTTAGTGCTTATTTCCTTAATGTGCTATCTGCAGAAGTAGGGCAAAGGTGGAAACTGGAGAGTGCTTGCAGGGAAGTGCTATTGTATCCAAGTTGTCAATTCTGATCATGGGACATGCCATATATCAAATAAAGCTATTATGAATCCTCTCTTATCTGGATCAGTCCATCGGCTGCCAGTGTAGAGCCTGCAGGTTAGGTCAGGGAGGAAGTGAACATGCTGCTGTGTATCATGTGGCAGGCTGGAAGTCCCACCTGAGGGCAATGCTCCTTGTGTAATACCTCAAATGAGGCAACTCCTGCCCCAGAAAGTCTCATCATCTCTGGTCAGTTCCCAAAGTGTTTGTGTCTTGTCTTTTTAGCAGAAGCTTAAGCTTGGGTATGCTCAAGTCCTTCCCTCTTTTCTCTGTATTTTGTAATCAGGATCTTGTTGGCATGACAGCAGACTGGTAGTTGTGGGGTAGAAAAGGGAGGATGAAAGTGTTGGCAAGAGCTGAACAACAGTTTCCCTTATAGTTTAGGGGATGAAATGCACAACTGTGGGTACATGTAGCTTGTGTTGGCAGCCGAGTCCTGCGGAGGTTATACTGAAGGAATCTGGGATTCCCAGGCTACAAGGTGCTTGGGCATGGTGTCAAAGTGTGGTGATGACAGTGTTGTGCCAGAGAGGTGATGGGCAGGCAGGTGGGTCAGCAAACACAAAGGGCAGGCACTTGCTCAAGGAGGGTGGTTCATGCAAGTGGCAGTTGTCAGCAGTGCTTGAGGATGCTTCTGTTAAGTGCAGTAATGGTAATAAAGGGCTGGTTTGCCATGTGCTTGTGAATGAATTTGGGTTGGAAGGGGATGGAGTGTGGCTGTGAGGATGCTGGATGCTGATGCTTTGGAGAACAAAATTGTGTCCAGGTTTAGCTGGTGTTTGAGGTGGGGGGTGCTGCCTTTCAAAGCTTCAGATATAATTTGTGAGTGCTGTGGGTGAGATCATAAAGTAACCCCTTTGAGGGGATCCTACCAGGCCCAGAGGATAGTGTTTGTGTACATCCAGGACACTTTTTCCTCAAGGGTATGCTGGCAGATAGAGTAGATTGCCTTTACAGGGATGAAGGATGTGTGGACTTCTGTGGGGAAGGAAGACCAGAGGGCTGTCAGGTTTTGGAGAGGACGGGGACGTTCATTGCATGGGAAACACACCAGCTGAGGGCACGTGGGCTGGGAACATGCCAGCAAGGAGGCCCAGCCTCGGCTGTGAGGCTGTCTTCCATGTCACTGTTGTGGCACTCTGCCACCCGGCTGTCATCCTAAAGCTGCCTAGAAGGCAGAATAAAGGTGAGCTGGCATTGCATGGCCTGGCGGGAAGCAGGGTGCAAACGTCCTGACCTACCCCGGTGGGCGAGCTGGGGCTGCCTGTGAGGTGCTTGCCACCCCTGGCTGGACAGACAGACGGCGGCGTCTGGGCTCTGACCCATGCCCTCTAGCGGCCACTGTGCTCCAGCCAGGCTGCTCATTGTCAGACCAACCTCTCCGGCTGCGTCTCACACCTTTCGGTCTTGCCTCTTCCACGGCAGGCGGCCCAAAGGAGCCCGGATATGTTATTCTCTAGGATGTTAGAGGAGAGTGGTGAATTCTCTTGCTCTCATTGTTACAGACAAGGACTTGGATATCTTCTGGGGAGATGTGATGTGTTCAGAGATAGCTGAGGGGAAATGCAATGTCCTGATGAAAGAACCAGGGGGTTAGGCTAGGTAATGTAAGAGCTCCCCAGGCTTTAAACGCTACCACAGGAGCACATCTGACACTGGTTATCAGGGCTTATGGAGGATCAGTGTTACATCACCAGTGATGTCTGATTGCTGTTCAAACTGAAGTTGCTGTGCGTTGTTTGGACTGATCTCCAGTTTTTGCTGCAAGGTAAAGGAGAGCTTGGAGACAGATTCAGAATATTGCAGCTCACACACTGGAAGTGTGCTACAGTGCAGAGGTTTCAAATCCACTTAGTACACTGCCTGCAGATAGCTTGAACAGGTTTTTCCTTCTTAGGAAAGGGAAACAGGATGGACAGTGGAAAACTGAATGGTAAGCTTTCTTTTCACCTCTGCTTAAACAAGTGACTTTCTGGATAAAGCAGTTGTTCGATAGCAGTTTCAGTGAGGATAATGTAAGCTTCCTAGCTAATAACAATACCCCATCATAGAAGTTGTAAGGATTTAGTTACACTATAAATAAGGGACAAAATACTTGTAGCCATAAAAAAGCATCTTAAAGGGGTAGTGGGGAAAGTCTACTCATCTGGGAAAGTGCAGGCTCTTGTAATGAGTGGAGTCCCTCAGGGATCGGTGTTGGGACTGGTCTTGTTCATTATCTTTCTCGCTGACATGGACAGTAGGATTGAGTGCACTCTCAGCAAGTTTGCCGATGACACCAAGCTGTATGGTTCAGTTGATACGCTGGAGGGAAGGGGATGCCATCCAGAGGGACCACGATATGCTTGAGAGGGGGGCCAGTGCCAACCTCATGAAGTTCAACCAAGCCAAGTGCAAGGTCCTGCACCTGGGTCGTGGCAATCCCATGCACAGCTACAGGTTGGGCAGAGAAGAGATTCAGAGCAGCCCTGCAGAGAAGGACTTGGGGGTGTTGGTTGATGAGAAAATGAGCACGAGCTGGCAGTGTGCGCTTGCTGCCCAGAAAGCCAACAGTATCCTGGGCTGCATCAAAAGGAGCGTGACCAGCAGGTCGAAAGAGGTGATCCTGCCCCTCTGCTCTCGTGAGACCTCACTTGGAGTACTGTGTGCAGTTCTGTGGTCCTCAACGTGAAAAGGACATGGAACTGTTGGAACAAGTCCAGAGGAGGGTCATGAGGATGATCAGGGGACTGGAACACCTCCTGTATGCAGACAGGCTGAGAAACTTCAGGATGTTCAGCCTGGAGAAGTCTGCGTGGAGACCTCATAGCAGCCTTCCACTATCTGAAGGGGGTCTATAGGGATGCTGGAGATGGAATACTCATTAAGGACAGTAGTGACAGGACAAGGGGTAATGGGTTAAAACTTAACCAGGGGAAGTTTAGATTGGATATAAGGAGGAAGTTCTTTACTGTGAGGGTGGTGAGGCACTGGAATGGGTTGCCCAGGGAAGTTGTGAATGCTCCATCCCTGGCGGTGTTCAAGGCCAGGTTGGACAGAGCCTTGGGTGACATGGTTTAGTGTGAGGTGCCCCTGCCCATGGCAGGGGGTTGGAACTAGATGATCTTAAGGTCCTTTCCAACCCTAACTATTCTATGATTCTATATAGTCTAGAGATCTACTCTGTGAGCATGGAAGAAACTACTGTCAGGAATGGCTCCAGTGAAAGATGTCACTTTCTGTCCTTGACTGGGATACAGCTCTTGTTGAGAGAGAAATAGCCCAGCCTTTTTTATGGTGCATCTAAGAATTTTAATCTGCTGAAATTTACAGGCTATGGGTAGGCTGAGCCAGACTGGTCTTAGTATCTACTTTAAGTCATCCTTTCTCCATTACTAGCAAAGCTTGGATCTGAGTGGCTGACAAAGCAGCCTGTACAGCTCTCCTGAACCAACAGCTGCTCAATCAATATATGGAACAAGCAGGGTACTAATCCCTTGAGACTTAAACTGGTGTGTCAGGAGCAGAAGGACAGTAGCACTCATAATGGTGTAGATTCCCTATGCAGCAGAAAAAAATCTCAACCCCTAAAAATGAAATAATTTGACAGTAACTGTATTGTAGCCCTCTTGCTCCTGACCTTTTCTACCAGCATGAAGGGATAGCTGAGCTAGTGCTATACCCAGCACTCTCAATTTAGACCTGAATGCAGCCCGTTTGGGATTTAACTGAACATGAGAAAATACAGCCTAAGCATTAGAGAAGACTTCACTTTAGAATTCAGTAGGGTTTATTCTACAAATCTTAGATCAATGCCAATGATACAAATTTTATGAATTCTCATTAAAAATACAAGTCAGTATAAAGATTCCAATAGTAATATAATGCATGATGATTCAGTTTCAAAACTTAAGGAATGAATCTGGGTTTTGGACCACGCTACAGAAAAGGGGAACACAATGTAGAAGAATATTTAGTTTACCTCCTTTACTTTAGGAGGGGCCTGTGCCTTATTGCCACAATACCTGAAAAAGCAATATGAAGTGCATAGCAGCCTTGCCTGTGGAGTCTCTAGGCAAAACTGTTGAATTTAGTATCAGTCCTCTTCCTTCCCCCCAGTTCTGTTAAGGTCCTTTTTGATAGCTTGATATAGCTATAATAACTTAAAGCTATTCCCCCATAATGATTATAAACAGTCCTTTGAACTGTAAAACGCTCCTGTGATGCACTGAACCACTTCCACTGCGCTAACCATCTGGCCCAGTCTTTCCAGGAACACTAAATACTGATTCAAATCAAAGGTGAATATTCAAAACCCTCCTGTCCATGACTTTTCTTTTAAATGAAGTCTCAGTACAGTCTCATACTCAAAACACGTTGTTCATAGCTTCAGGCACAGTTACAACATAAATCAGATGTACTTTCTTGAACATAGCCCTCTGATATCATGAAAGGTGTTACAGCTTTCACTAAACAGCTGAAATTTGGCCAAGAATTGCTAGATCAAGTGCTTTGGAGTGGGGGAGAACAAAACTACCCTTTCTTTTTGGGAGCTGCCTGCACTTACAAGAGGATTAGGCTTGATGAAGGAATACCCTAAACCTAAATTTTAGAGAAACAGTTTAGCACAAGAGGTAACTCTTGACAAGATATACACCTCATCCCCCAATTGCTGTACATACATCTGTTTATTCCTAATGACACTTTCACCCTATCAAAAATAACTCTTGTTGAGCCCAGTCATTTCTGGTAGCAGAACCACATTAACATCACAGAGCAGGTATCATGTATCTATCTGCAGAAGCAGACAGGAAAACTAGGCTTAACAATATGCATTACATTTCCAAACAGAATTTTGAGGCAGGCAGTGGCATTTACTGAAACTCAGCTTTTACCAAAATATTAGCATCATACAAAAATAATGATTAAAAAAAAGGTAAAAAGCAGCTGCTGACTTCCATGCACCAGTTGAATAAAAAAAAAAAACAAACCTCTTGCATAAATGGAGCAGCAGCACAGAACAAGCACAGACTTGGCTATACAAATACATCTTCTATAAGAATTTCCGAGTTATCCACCCAACATCACAATATCATGTTTCAGCTTCATACCAATGATGGCAAAATCTAGTATTAAAGCCATCATGCAGGCTAAGGGGAATTTCTTCTGCTGTGCTGAACACTGCTGTGCTTGCTTTGAATACATACTCTCACTCTGATTTGTCTTTGTAGTAAAAGCATCTTATACTCTACCAGTCACATTTAGTCAGAAGTAAAAAAAATTCTGTAGCCCATACTGGGCTTCTGTACAGTCAAGATGACAACAAAATACAAGGATGTCATTAAACTGCATATATTATAGATAACGGGTTCACTCTGCATTTAAGTCACATTTAATACAAGACATGTTGGTCTGAAATTGTGAACTGATTCTATTTGGAACAAAGTATGGCACAGATTCCCAGTATCTATGGACACTGGATAAATAACACATTTTTCTTTTTGCAATGATTATCAATTCACCAAAAACAGTGTAACAGTCAAAAGGGAAGAGTGAAGGAAAACAGACATAGGAGAAGAAATAAAAAATGTCTAAGAATTGAAAATAAATGCCTTCTTTTGTAAGAAACTTTATTTAACTTCATCTTTAAAAATTCATTCTCTCCTCAGAACAAATACCACCATAAAAAAAAAAACAAACCAAAACTGCAGTAGCACACACTTGCACTCAAAGGAAAACATGCAAAACCCATGGCTGGAAAAATTCTGCATAAAAATCCAAGACTTTAGGCAAAAGTTTGCCCCCACGTGCCTTTAGGGACCCCAGACAACAAACAGCTTTCAGTGCAATGTCGCGTTTCCAATTGGTGGGGAAACATGGCAGAAGCTTGTCTTCCAACAGCTATACTCTCCCAGATGTTTGAAGCAAAACCAGTCTCAGCTGTACTTCAAAATATCATTCTTAAACTGTTGCAGAAAGTACAGAATTCAGTAAAATGTCAGAATCCAGTGAAGGAAACGTTTTGAGTTCTACCCTGTGCCATACACTTCTTAAAAAAAAAATTAGACAGAAAAATGGATTTTTATTAATACACCCTCTTTAAATTTTTTATTTATGAAAGCAGCTCTTTACGCAAATCAAAAGCAGTTCCTGAGTAACTGCAGTAAACAATGTCTTTTAAATATTTCTGCGCCTCAGCTCTTCTGTTTTGGTTCTTTCTTGGTTTTTCTCCCTAGTTTTCAAGTTTAATCTCAGTTCTTTTTCAAAAAATGTGCAAGTTCAGTTAGCATCATTTCCAGAAGTCCGCAGCTTGCAGGTCTTCCTGCAACAACTACAAGATCTGCACATATGCTAGGTTGTACTCCTATACCTATTGCAGATTTCGCTCTCAAACCTGTACAGCATGCACTTTCACGTCTTCTTCAGCATACGCCGGGACTGCCATGTATGGAACTTATTGTAGGCCGTCTGCAGCATCTCTTCTATATGACTTACCAACTGAAACATTAAGAGGGAATTAAATGTCCCAGCTACTGGAAAATACATCCCCTCCCCTCCCTTTGATCAGATACTGTTGCCTTCTTCCTTTTATTCAGTCGAAGTAATCTTGCTAAAATCACAGAGGTATGCCAAACAAAGAGAAAAAATATCTGAGGCTCTAATGTGAAGTATCTGTAGAGGGAGCAGTTCAGATAGCTACTAAGCTGGGATGGTCACAGGGAAGTTGTGATACTTGACTGTGCTGTCTGCTCCAGTATTTACTGTGTGGTCTGTGACCACTTCAAGTCTGACACGGTGTGAGACAGTTTTGAAGTTGTTATAGTTCTACTTCATGGTGGAAGTGAGAAGTGAAACATGACTTCTGCTTCTTGCTGTCTCACTTGGGCAATTTTAAATTATATTTCTTGATAGTTTTTGGTATCATTCAGAAAGCTATACAGGGAGAGGAGGCATGCTTAACTCTGTACTCAATCTCCCTCTGCCCATTTCCTAATTAACAAAAACCTTAAATGCCCTAAGATAAGAAATAACAAAGCTACCATCCTCTTGATAATTATGATTCAAATTATTAATAAGCACCCACATAATTAAAGAGTATTTTCCCCTTACATTTGTGCTTAAATACTGTCTCCGAATCTTTTCTTGGAATGGGCAGAGCTTTGCAACCTGAAATCTTTCCAAGTTGCTCTTCATTTTCACAACCTGAAAGAGACAGAAACCAACATTATAGTCACTTTGCACAGTTCTCTTTCCTTTAACAAACTGTTCTCCAACCAAACACCTCATAACTAATCCTGGGGGCTACTTTAAATATGTGTAGTTTGAAGAAGTTACTAAAACATCAGTGTCTAACCATTCTGGAGTGCATACTTATTTTTGAGGTGAGTGCAATGTGCCACTGTGATCATTATTACTTTGTCAGTAAATACTACAGAGAAGATAGTCACAAAAACATGTTTTTGCTTCAGGCAAAGACTGAACCATGAATTTTCAGGCCATGTTTTGCAGCATGAAATCCAACACATCTGCAGATTTTTATCTTTGTGATCCACATGAGGTCAAAAGAAAGAATAGCAACAGAAAAACAGTTACAATCATATACCTGGTTGCAGCAGACATCTCTCCTCAAAGGCAACTTTATTCTAAAAGGCAGTGTATGTTTTGAAGCTATGAGTGAGTGTTTTTTGCAATGGATAGAAGAAAAAGGAAAATTTTCCTCACTGTGGAGGTGTCTTAATGTGGGGGAAGGGGGGCTTTAGTTTGTGTTTTAAAGTTGCAATGAAAGATCTGCAGCTGGAATACAGCTGACCATTCTGTTGAAATTAGCTTGCAGCAACTGCTCCTGAAGGGCAGCAACTGGCATAAGGTTGATTTTAATGGTGCCAAAAGAACTGCTGAAAAAAAAGGTAGTATTTTACATTGTTGATCTTCAGTTCTAGGGACGAGTAACTGCTGCCCTGATTTAAAGCATACGTATTAGTTCTATACTTCAAGTTAACAACAGTCACCCTAAACCATGATCTGGCCACCCTGTAACGAGGGCCACACTAAGAAGTTCTTACCTTTTCTTCTAGGAATGGCGTGTTAACAGGAAAGCAGGACCAGAAGTGTCGTAGCAGTTCCCCTACTGCCACATACAAGTGTTTTAGTTCAGACTGAATGTCATTTGGCACCATCTCTGCAACAAGAAAAAGATTTTGTTGCGTGACTCAAAACCATCATATGAAAACAAGAGAATGTAAGGCTAATGAAGGAGACCAGCAATATACATTTCTGCGAGAATCCCAGAAAGGTTGGCTGGAACACTGAGGTGCCTTACACCTGAAGTAGGACTATCAGCAGCATTAGATCAGGTCAGCTGCTATTTATGACTACATAGTTAGAAGCTTGTATGTTATATATAGGGAGATCTATGTTAGCCAAAGAATGGATATAAAACTTAATCCAGGATTAGAAGCAGTATATTTGTACTGTTCTAATGGTGTGGCAGTACTGCTTCTGGGACTGGCATCTTGTTCTCTTCAGAGCACAGCACTAAATACTGTATGGTGGATACTGCAAGCTCTTCTCTCTTTTTACAATGGCAGTGAGAACACGGTCACAGCCTGTGGAAGATGAAAAATCCAGGCAGGAACAAGGAACTGACCCTAGATACTCTTAAAGAAGAAAGGGCAATGGGGTTCAAGAGAAGGGGGGAACCACAATCATAAAAACCAAAGAAAAAAAGCACAGTCATTGAGGATGACAGGAGCATAGTTACCTGAGCAGTGAATAGCAAATTCTAGGATGAGGCTGGGTTTGGTTTCTGTTTGGTTGGGTTTTGTGGGTTTGATTTTGTTTGTTTCTGTTCTGGTTTTTAAATTGAAAAAGGTGGTCAAGCTCAAAATGGAGTGCAGCACCCAGTACGTCAACTGGGATGGGTAAGAAAGCCTCACTACCGCTTGCTGACTCCTTTTCTTTCAGTACCATAAAGAACTTACACTTGCTTTTTCAGCTGTCTGCATTAGCTTCTGTGGCTCTTCACACCAAGTAACACAAGTTAACTGGAAACCTGTTATAAACACTGCCTTGTGAGAACCTGCTGCGATGCAAAGGAAATGAACTTGGGAATAGCTGAAGAGATGCAAGAAGGAGGAGTTGTCTGTTTTGCCCTTGAAGACTACAAGAAAGTTGTCCTTTTTCACAGCAAGCTGTGGATCTTAAACGCAGGCTGCAGAAAAACCTAGTTCCAGACAATTATCTTGACCTCGCCTCCTTTAGAGCTCTCCCTGAGTATGCCTTTATTTTCTAAAATCCAGGGGAAAAAAAAAAAATGAAAAATAGAAATGCTGAACAAGCAAACCCCATTATCTATACAAGGACTTGAGATCAACTACAACCTTCATCACTTGCTTTGTACAATTTCCTCTCATTCAGTTGCCTCAGCAGTGGTGTAGCCAGTACCACCCTCATGGTGTGGCTCAGTTGTTGCTTTTTGTTTGTTACTGTAGCCCAGTATTATTTCAGCTGCATGTTTCCATAATTTCCTTTATCACTGTAACATTCCAAGAGGCAGATGAAACAGCAAGCCAGGTACTGCTTTATAATGCAGTAAGACATGATTAAAGTATTTTATGTCCTAAATCCTTACGGTTTATGGCTTGCTGTGTTCCACCCTGCATAAGTGCTCCTCCAGGTGACAGGGCTGCAATAGTGCTAGCAGCATCAGCACTTGAAAGGACCTGAAGGGAGAGAGGGAACAATTACTTCATATCACTTTCTCCAATAAAATCTTTTTAAAATGAATTGTATTTGAACTCTGATGGCAAAGATACAGTTGAGCAGATACAATGGAAGTTTTGATGAAGAGTCTGCTCAGTACTTTCAAGTGCTATAAGCTCACATTTTCAGCAAAAGCTCTCCAGTTAGTTACAGACAAACCAACCTTTTCTTTACCTAGTATGTGAACTGGCTATGCAGCCATTTTGAAATGAGACAGAGAATTACTGTACAAAAATGCGACACATTTGAATTTGTGGCTGCTTTACATCAGTTCACATACTGGCTGGGCAGACTGGCTGCCTGGGTGTGCTGCACCCTAGTTGCCAGAAGACAGCTTCTGTGTAGCCCACAGTGAGATCTACATCCTACATAAGTGCATTTAGGAATGAAAGACCTGTTCAGTTATAAATTTGCTTACTATGGACCTCTTAAGACCATTACATACTAAACTTCAGGGGGTGGGATCAATAATATTGGCCTGTGTTTCATGTTGCATAACTGTCCTGCTTTACTACTTTCTACCTTTTACCATTTCCTCAAAGAACCTGGTAACGGTAGAATATAACTCAGAGTATCAGGTCCCTATTGTTTAGAATTTAAAATCAGTAACTCAAAAGGTATTGCCTAAAGTTGTACAATAAATTGAATAACATGAAACTATTGGAGATAATTAAGTCTGCCCTGAAAAAGTAAAATTCCAGTAGACAGGAGGCACAAAATTACACAGAACGCAAGATGCTAACATCAAGAAGGGTATTTTTTTTAAGTATTCTCCCATACCTGAGTTAGTTTGGGTACATATGCTTCCATTTCTTGCCTAATACTATTAAAAGAATTAATTATATCCTGACTGGTTGCATATTGCTGTGATTGAATTGGAGTTGGACCATGATAATACCTGTGAGGCAAGAAAAGATAAAATGTATTAATAGGAGTGTTGGTAAAACAGAGGCCAAACTTGGTGGACAGGTCTTCAAATGTTTCCAATTTTAGATGCTTTGTAATTGTTGACATTACTATCTAAATCTTATTTATTGACAAAGTAAAATATATTGCCACATTGGAAGAAGTTGGGTCAGGGATGGTATGACAGCAAAATAAGAGTTTCTGTTGTTGAATCTCCGAGCATCTCTTTGCTAATAAGAAGCTATCTGTGCCACTGAGTTCTGGGAGTATTATTAGAGTAGAGGAATTCATGCCACTTTGGACTGAAACTGAGCACATTGAGTATCACTTCTTTTCTGAAGTTATATTTATGGTTTTCAAACTCAAAAAGTCTAGAAAACAACAGGACTGTTACTATAAAAACACACCAATGAGCAGTCCAAACTATCCCAATTGCTTTTTTTTTTTTCTGGGAGTGCATTTTCCTTGGAACTGAGTATATTTTCACATGCGACACATTTTTCCACTGTAAGCTACAACAAAGTGCCGACCTGTGCTAACAGGTCTGTTAGCCTTTCACAGATATTACAGCTCAAAGCTCTTCAAGTACGCTTACAGAGACTTAGCTTGCTGGAAAGCAAGATGAAATAAAAATACAAATTTAAATGGGAATTACTTGGAAGCTGGTTTATGCAGAAGTTCATATTAGGTTTTTAAGCTTAGCCTAAACACACTTGACTGTGGCACAGTAGAGACTAAATCAGCTGATTCTGTGCAGGCTGTGATGAGACCTTCTGTACTGAATATGACGAAATAACCATGTGTATTTTAACTTACCTATCAGACTTCAAGTTTAATGCAATAGTTTTAATGCTATTATTCTTTGATAAATCTTCATATTCAATGGCCTCCTGCAATTTCACCTAAAATAAGCCAAATAATTATACACATCACTAATGAGGATACAGTTTGATGCATCTAGTGCTTTTTTCCAGTTCACTGAGTCTGAGCAGTAGAGTTACTAAAACCTTAAAGAAAACCAAAGTGTGGAATGATTCACGCCTACCCTCCAGAGGGAGCAATGCCCAACATTGCTTAAAGGGTGCACTTCGGAAGTCTTGGCACTACCGTTTTTCCTGCAGGTTCTGGCCAAAATGTGCAGTCCCTGGCACTTCAAAATATGTTCTACAATATATAGATCATTCTTTGTGCTCTCTATGTCCATCTAGCTCTAGCTTAGCAGAAACAGTAATGCTTTAATGGCTGTAAGGAGTGTAAGACTAAAACCCTAATAATTACACAAGCTATGTGTTGACTGTACAGCTAGAGCATTAGTGGTGAGAGATAACAGCACAGTGGTATTACACTTTGTACAATGAGAAAACTATTTCTGAAATCTCCTACTTTCTCCTCTTTTCATCACATTTATTTTAATCCTGGTGTATCGTTTTCTCTCCAATGAAAACTGCAGTTTTCAGGAAAGTCAAAGCAGTTGACTAACTACATTTACTAACGTGTATTCTACCACCTTTTCTCACAACATATGCAGGTTTTAAGTCCCCTTCACATGTTCTATTTGGGCTGTCAACCCTAGCAAGAGTATTCAATTCAGTTCTGCAGCAATTACAATACTCTCTTCCACTTTGTGAGCTGCTATAGTTAGTCTAAAACAAGCTGTTGCCCTGTATTTCAGTGTACCAGGCATCACTAGGCTTTCAGTTCAACTTCATTTCAGCTTATGACCTTAGGATGAAGGCTGCAATGTGCCATTTTAATCATCCCCTTTACAAATGATACATTTGATAGGTTAATATTGGTGCCTGAACACCACTACCCCTTTCAGATGGATGTTCTCTAGAATGTTTCCAGCATTTGGCGGAAAGGCAAAGGGGGAGTTGGGCAAAACCAGAAATGCACTGTATGGAAAGAACCAGATTTCTGGGTCCAAGCAGACGCATCTTGGAAATTTTTTACTTTCGCTGAAGAGATAAACAGCAGTACTTCAAGGTGTAATTTATTTGTGTTTACTAAAAGAGTATAAAACTTCTTACAGCCCCTCAGGTTCTTATTCTATATACTTCTAAGCAAAGCCAAATCACATTAGATGCATCATAAAACAAGTAAGGAACCTTTAGCAACTTTCTGACAGACAGCTTCCAGTTTCATTCAATTAGAATTGCATCAGCTAACTTTATACCTTTTTAATTGGTGGCTGAAAGAAATCTGAATCCCTGGAGTTTCCATCCGTACTGCTGGTCTCACTGTAATGGTCATTTTGTGCTTCTCTTAAAATAGAGAAACAGCATTAAGAATACCTCACAGGAAACTTAAGATACAAGCTAGAGGCAAAGCAAATACATCTGCTTCAAAAACTTTATATGCATGTTCACATACTGTATGTCAACTTTTTTCCCCTTACATCTTCATTTCTAGCAGCTGATCTAGATAGAAAGAACCAGCTCCTCAAATAACCCCTCAAGAGGGAAATTCAACAGCAAGGGAGGGTGATTCTCCCTCTCCTCAGAAGTAGTAGCATGCCAGCAACGCAAGTGGGACACAGCAAAATCATGTGACTAAATTAGAAACGCTTTGCATACACGCTTATGTCAACCAGGTGTTAGCAGAGATATGGAGCCCTGAGATACTACTGTTGCAGAATGAGAGCTATTGTTTTGTCTTTCTGAACTGGAACACACATTACATGGAAGAGATCGTTAAAGGTCCAGTGTTCAGTTAGACAGAATAACAACATGACGGAGCACAGCTAGACAGAAGGTATTAGAATTTATCACAGATAAGGTCTGCAGGATTTGGGAAGAGTAGGAATCCTTTGATGTTTATCTATAAACCACTCATAAAGCAGACTTCACATCAAGCCCACTTCATTCTTCTTTGAAGAAGTTTCATTCATGAAGTTCACTGCAAATATACTAAACCACCTGGTTATTCTTTTCTTTTTAGTCTGGGCAAGGTACTGCACTAGAGGAATTTTTCACCTGATCCACCTATGCCACACTGTTCTTTTGCTTCCTCCTTTGCTTATGTCTATGCACCCCGCTATAGGAAGCCTCAGCAAACCTGCTCCTGGAAGGCAGGCAGTAGGGACTCCCTATGCCAGACCTACCCTCCACACAGCAAATGGAATACTACTTCTGCAGCCTTTACCAGGGGTGAAGAACTAAGGCAGAAACATCCTTTCCTTTTTGCATCTGCTTTGTATGGTAACTCAGCTAAAACTAGCATTTTTCATCTCAGAAAAACTGTTAAAGTAAAATGGAATGTAAAGGTATTTTCGTTTCTGAAGTGAAAATTATAAATCATAAAAATTACAAGAAAAGGTTGGATGTGCAATTGAAGACTTACTTTCATTTTGGAAATTCTTTAAAATTTGTTACAAACCAGCTTTTACACAAGAGTGAAACTTACTGTTTCCTGAGGCCAGCTGCAAGGACCATGGCACTATGATGATTAAAGCGTTTTATAATGGCAGTGGTGCTACTTTCTCTAGCAGATTTTGAGGCATTTGATGTAGAGGCCATAGAAGCAACATATTCCTACAAAGAAAACAACATTAGCTACCTCCTGCCCAAAAACCAGAAGGACTGAATCAGGAATCTTGCATGTCACCTCCTCTGAACTCTACTGAGTGATACTGCCTCATCATGGGAAGCAGTATTTTCCTGCCTAGCTCCACCATCACATTATGTAATTTGAAAAATCTCCATAGACTATTTTATTCTGCTAACACTGGGCAGTTTAGGTGTCTGAGAGAAGAAAAAAAATTGTTTTGTAAGACTGTGGTCTAGTTATAAGTAAAACTAGAACTAGCTTAAAAATGTGAGGATCACCTGCATGAAACAGACAGGCACTGATGGCAATTAAGAGCTAGCAATTGTTTTATTGACCTCTTTTTACCAGCCTGTGGGACAACAGCAGCCCACAGGCTAAATGACACCTGTCAGGAGGATGCGGTATTGCTGCGAATTCAAAAAACTTCAAGCCTTAATCCTTGCAGTGTTCCTTGGTTACCAGGTGGTTAAAGGCAACTTGCTTTGCCCCATGCGCAGTTTCATGCCTGCAGTTAACCGGCCTCAAAAAGAAAGTACGGCAGTTTGCACAGCAATTCAAACATACCTAGCCTAAACTCCTAGTCCAGTTCCAGACTGCTGGCTTTGTACAACTCTTAGAAAAAAGAAAACCAACTTAGAAATGCAGCATCATTAGTTGAAACTCCAAAGTTTACGTTAGATCAACTGCAGAAAAGCACATTTTTAGGTAATTTCACATTATGGTACACCATTTATAAAAATTGTTTTAATTTGTACTTGGAGGCAGGTAACAGAACAGTTCAAGCTAGTCATACATTTAGCAAAAGATGGTATTTAAAGCTAAACAAAGAAAACTGTATAAAGTGTCCTTAAAATTAAGCGGAATCAAGCAAATAGCCATGTTTAAAATGAGAACAAATGCAAAGACTTTTTCATTTCGTGCTACCTTCTGCATGTTGTCACAGCTTCTAAAAGGCAGGAAGAAAACAGAACATCCACTTCAGACAAGAAAAAAACAAAACCAAACTATCCAAGTGAAATAATAATTCTTTAAAAAAGGGAATTCCTGATTTTATAGCCAGCATACTAAGGCAGACAGGAGACATAAAGTACCATGGGCAGAGTTTCCATTTCTTTACACACAGACATGCAACTGTGTAAATGTCGACTATCCAACCACTGCAGAAGCCTAGTAAGCGATGTGGTTTAGAATTAGCATTTGTAGTTATTTTAAGAGGAGAGGGACCCTCTTTTTCCTTAAATGAAGCTAAGGTGGGAGTTGGGTGGGTTTTTTTGGCAACTACTTACTTCATCTAATGTGTAATCATCCAAAGCTGTTAAATCTATCAGGGGGTTTTTTACCCCTTGAGACACCATTGCTTTTAACCCTGTATAAAACAAAGAAAAAAAAATCATTAAAAACCGTATCTAATATAGGGATTATTAGATTATATTTAACCTTTAAAGGAAAAGACAAAGGTTCTGCAGATCCCCAAGTATCAGCATGACTAAAGCTTTCAACCCTTTTCAGAGTTCCATTTAAAATTGCCAATAAACTTGGAAAGGTATTGTTAAAGATCATCCTACTAATTAGCACAGCTTTCATGAACTTCTACACGTTGCTGTTGGGAAAAAAAAAAAAAAAAAAAAAAAAAAAATAATCGAACGTTGTATTAGTAATGTTAGTTGTATTAACATGGGAACTGGGAAGCCTTAGTTCTATGTTTCTTCTAATTTTGGCACTATTTTGTTGTCTTGTCTTGGGCAGAATGGCTATTTACATCTGGCGATAGCTTTTACTTGTGTAGGGTTATGGATTTCATTAGTCAGAATACATGTTAAGGAATGGTGTTAAGTGATCTCAACTCTGCACATCTCTGTATTGTTACAAACCTACCTCAAAAGTTCAATAAAAACTTATGTCAGATGGTATTTCAAGATTTCACATTAAAAAGGCTGACAGAGAACAGGGATGGCAACTCCTCTGGAAAATTTTAAACAAGATCCATATCTGTCTATTACTAAAAGCTGATCTATAACAAAAGCTATACATGTTCTAAATTGTGCACATACCACAGAATGAAGCCTTATATAAACAAAATTATTTCACAGCAACCGATGGCACAGAATAATCAATCTAGCATGATAGCACATAATAGAATTTATCACAGATTTTCTGTTGCATGAGTTGTAATAAAGCTGGTTTCTAGTGCTACCACTCTCCAAAGGCTACTTTGTTTCAAGAAAGGCACTCTCCATGAAACATGTTGAGAATCCAAAGCTACAGCTAACTTTCAGCGGCCATCCGTACCTTTCACTTCACAGTTTGACAAACAACATGCCTAGTAATGTAAGTAATGTAAGAAAACTTAAACTTCAGCTTTGCTAGATTTCTTAGACAGACCTCTTGAGTGTTGGGGTCTATGAGGCAGCTAAGACTCTTGCAGCCTATTGCACAAAGTCAAAAAACTTACCTTTTTCATCCATTTTGGCACACTCCGTAAAGAGGTCTTTTGAGCCTGTATTGAGCCTGTCCCGATGGAAATAATGAGACTGAAAAAATCGTGTCCAGAATTCCTTCTCCGTCATGTTATGTGGAACATTTTCTGCATATTTCATTTTGACTGTGAACAAAACCAGCAGTGATTACAAACTGTTCTGCAAACCTTAGTATGGTACTTCACGCTAAAATTTCCTTGCTTGCTTCCTTCCTTGTTTTTTGTCTAATGCTGCTTAGATTCATTCCAACTAAACTAAGAGAACACAGTAGTTAAGCATAAGCAAACAGGTACTCTTTTTATGCCCTGCAATGCTAGCTAATATTTTGAAATAAATGCACATAACAGTGGTCTGAATACTCTTAATTTGAACTGCACACATACAAGAAGTTTGATTTGCCAGAATTCTAGTAATTCAATATAGTGCAGGGGGATGATGGAAATCAGATTCTTTTCTTCCCAAAGGTGGTTTAATGAAAAACAACAATTAATTGAAATTCTGAGTAGGAGAGTACATGGGAACCAAACACCTATTCACAATCTAAAGAAAAAAAAAACCAAAAAACACCCCCCCCCCCCCAACCAAAATCCCAAACAACCAAAAGTTCAATGCACAAGTTAAAATGTTTTCATCTAACAAAATCAAATTTTCATTTCAAATGCATGTTTTAACACATGGTTCTTCCCATCCCTCAAACAAGACAGGGAAAATCATCTAGAAGACTGAATATATGGTGCTTTGTATTTCCAGGCTCAGACTAACATTTCAGTCTTCTCACAGCAAGATGGTAAAAAACCCCAAACAAACCAAATCTTAAATGTATGTATTCGTTTCATAAAGCACTGTTCTTACCTGCAGGATATGTTCGAAATATGGATTCAATGATATCTGAAGTCAAATTATACCGCAGACCATTGCAGCCATCTGCTTGAGGCCGTACATCAGCCTAAGAAAAAACATACAGGGAAGAAAATCAGTCACATCTGAATGCCTCTGTAACTGGAGAAGGAAAAAACCTAGCATTTTGCAGTCAAATTCTCCTGCAGATAAAATAATCTTCTTCCTCCAAAAATCCATAGCATATTTGATTATAAATATTTTTAGAAAGACTACATTTTCCACTTAAAGGCAAATTCTTTACAAAAGTAGATTGTAAATTTTAGAAGATGAAAAGCAAAGACCATTCTATCAATCAAAAGAATGTGTGCTTAGTTTAATATATTCGTGTTTCACAGTAAAAATAGGCATATTTACTGCATATGCTTAATCCATTAGTGTGCGTGCAACAATTCAGCTAGTGAATAATCAGGGATGATAATGAAGTGACAAAAAAGGATTTATGGTTCTCATACCTTATTTGCTTACACACTGAAAGCATCTCCATATAACTGACAAATAGCAATGAATTTAGAAATTGAGGGTAAGCCTCAGTCAGAACTTACAAGTTAGATCTCAGTGATCTCTTCAGGAAGCTCTGGAGCAAGCAAGTGCTCAGACCAATTCTCAATAACAGGAAAAAGTACATGATTGCATAAGCTGCCTTCTTTTCTTCCTTTTCCTGTACATCTAAATTCTAGGTTTTGTCCCACCTTCTTCCTAGAGAAACACTCATTCTGAGCAGAGCCAGATAGTTATTTTAACTTGAACTAGCACACACAAATATATGAAATTCTTTTTCACAAATGCAGAGTACACAAACACAACCATTTATTTAAGAAAGTTTTGATTTTGAAAGTCTCAGTGGGTGTGGTGCTTTGCTTTTTTATTGTCAAGGTGTAAGAATAATGAGAGAGAAAATCGGAGCCATCAAGTTCATTTGGTAAATGATTCAGGTACTTCTAGGTGGGAAAAAAACAAATATAGCAGCTAAGTCATAAAGCTGCTCCCACCTCCTGTTTCCCTCCCAAACTCTTGATGTGTGTGCAGTCATTACAAAGGTGGAAATGGGATTCCCACTAGAGAGTCACAGTATGTATTCATTCTGTTGCAGAAGTAGAAATACATCTGTGGGAGGAATCTAAAGATTGTACCTAGGTTACTTTTAGACTGCACTGAGATTACTGAGGCATGGTTTCTACAAATGGGTAACATAACAAAGATGGAAAAAGAGAGAGAAAACAAGTTTTCATACATACAAGTTGCTCTTCAAGTAGCTGAAAGCATATACTGGTTTAAGAAAAAAATGGGGAGAGAATAAAACTGTGTGGAAAATCTCTGCAGCTTCATTTATGTATGTCAATGCTGCAGCAGAGATACTCTTGAACTTACGACGTTAATACAATGTAACCTAGTGACTGTAAGTTTACCGTTATTCCTGTTTAACAGGAGGCATATATATAAAGAACAACGGCCTATTGTCAATTTAAAGTTCAAATTGAGTAGATTAAATTGTCAAAATGTTGAGGTTGCAGATTTGCAACTCAAACCTTTACTTCTGTTCTTTTTTCTCCTTTATGTGATTGCAATAGTCTCGCCAATGTGTGGAAATATGTGAAGGAACCAGGAAAGAACACTATTAAAGTATATGGGAATAAAGTATCTGAACAGAACTCAGAACACTTTCCCCAATTTGTCTGCTCTAAAATCATTTAAGTTAGAGAGGTTCAACATACCAGAAATGCTGCAGAGATGCCCACATCCTGCTTACTAGGGCCTGCAGAATTATCCCCTGCATTCAGGCTTAAACGGTTGGCCCAGAATTCTTCAGCACTGATTACTTGGCTCACAACAAGGTCTTTATAAAGCTGAAACAAAACAGGATCTTCTTGCAGCATTCTGGTAAAAGAATGTATTGAACAGAATTGAAATACTGCAGAATAAGTCACTAGGATTTCCATAACTAACATGAGTTCACAAAACGAACAGAAACCAACTTTTTTTCAAAATGCTGTGCATTTCTTAACAAGACTGTGTAAGCAAACAACCCCCATAGCTGTATTTGTCCTAAAAGACTTCAGGGCTAAAAAAGAAATGTTTAAGGAATAGTATTAAATGCTAGAGAACAATAATGCCTAGGAAAAAGTTAATATGGGATTAACATCTTATCCTAATATTCTGTGCTGCTCTTGTCTCTTTGCACATCCAGGACTGGAGTCTCCTGAACTGTAAAAGCACAATGAAATTTCCTGAACTTCTGTAACAATGTTCTCGTGGGGCAGGAAGGGATTTCAGCACTGTCCAATTTCCGTTTAATATCTTAAAATTCAGTAGTTACATGTCTCTCTTCTATTGCAAGAGCACACATAGCAAAATGTGAGGGATAAGGTACCTTAAAACATGTATTATCCCGAGTTGTTTGTTCATTTGTGTTTCTGTTGGTAACAGTAGGATCTCCATCACTTAACTATGACATGCAGCACAATTGCTACAGAAACATTCAGTGTCACTACTTCCACCACGGAATAATGTTTGCAAAAGTTATCATCCAAATATAAAGTATCACCCTTACTATCCAAAATGCAAAGAATGTATGCACCTGAAACTTAATCCATGTTTAAGCAGCTTTTCAGACAGCTGTGTACTTGACTTGAGACCCACCAGGCGATTTTCAGGGAAACATGCATGTGTGTTCATAATCAGCCAAAGATTCATAATCAACCTCAATGATCTCTGACCTGTACCTAAGAGTCTTGATCATTTGCAAACAAACAAAAATAGGAATCTTATGAATACCTAGTAAATGGTCCAGGGAAGAACATGAATAAACTGCAACCCGGACTGAATGAAAGTCTGTAGCTGCTCTAAGGATGAAGTAGGATGAGGTGGAAAAGAAGACTTGGTGCAGGACATCCCTATTATATTTTAACCACCACGTTTTTTTTCAGTTTTTCTTGTTGGTACAAATATGGATTAGTGGCCATTTTTACAAATTAGTGCAGCAGGAAGCAGTCTTATTCTAATTATTCCATTAAAACTTGGAGTATTGGTATGTACCTGACCCCTACATATCAATAAATGGAGGAAGAGCCATAGGGACTCTGGATGTAGTATCCCTTCTAGAACAGACTGAAACTTTTTTGCCTTTCAGTTGAAAATTAAGCTAGTGAAGCCCTGCCACTAGACTTGGACTTCTAATCAAAGTAACAGACTGGGACCGAGTACATGCAAAGATTCTGCCTTCCCTGTAACTAGAAAAGCTCTTATTGCCGCATGGCGTAATACTGTAAAATCTCATTTAAGGATACAAAGATCCAGAGCTAAGACTGCCCATACAATCAGCATTAAAAATCTTAGAAATAAGGCACATAGTATGATAGTGCCAAAGCAGTCTGCACTGCTGTAGAGCCTTGTGGTCCCTGCAGTACTAGAAACAGTTAAACCTGCATGTGTCAGAGCTCCTGCACAAGACTCTTACCATTCTGCTGGGAAACCTCCTTGTAAAGACCCTACCTGACCAATGAGGCAATGTTCCTAGGTTTTTAAAAAATCTAGCTTTAACTTACCTAAGTTCAAAGCTAGAACAGTCTCTGGAAATGGAAGGGAGTAGATAGAGGATTCACAGCAGATGTTAGAATAAAGTGAAACTCATCCGGGGAGATGCAGAGAACTGTAAGCATGCTCTATGGCCACAAGGACTGGTTTAACACAAGTATTTTAGAGGAATGGAAGTGTATCTTAAAAGCCCTTTTGGGAAAACAACTTTGGCCCCAAATGTCTTCTCAAAACATTTTTACAATAAAATCCTGTATCCCAAGTCACACACTACTGCATCTCAAGTGATGCAGCATGAAAATACTGCAATTTAGTAAAGCATATAAAACACCAGGAAAAATTTGAGGGGAAAGAGGTTACACAGGGAGGAGGGAGGGAGGGGAGGAAATCACAAATCAAAGGTGAGAACTTCTGGAACAGAAGGAAAAAAAAAATAAGTCTTTAAAGTAGACTTTCTAGCTAATACATATATACTTAAGAGACTAAAGAGACAGACTGCCAGCTGGGTGCTTTTGTCTCACAGCCATGGATAACAGACTGGGTGGCAGCCAGGTTGGCTGCCTTTACACCTCAAGAACATGTCGCTGAGAACACAGGTATAGTCTCAACATGTCACAGTTATGTAATTCTCAGTGAACAGCCTCTAAATTGGAAGTGGAGAGATTTATACTAGGAAAACGAATGCTGTATCACTTAGCAAAACCACACTACAGTTAGGTAACAACTAAAAAAAAAAAAAATAAACACCAAAAAAAGTCCAAGCAAAACCAACATTAAGGCTCCCTTCCCTTTACCTGTTCTTCTCCTCAAGTTCTTTATTAGCTTTCCTTTTGAACTTGGGCAACAGTTGTTGAAGAAGATCCTTTACTGCATCTCGCTCCTTCACCGCTGTGCTTTCATTGGAGAAGTGAAAGTTGGTTGTGTCCCCTGCATGCAGCACTAGCTGAAGCTGAATTTTAGCTTTACCTTCTGGACTGATTTTCTGGCCTAGATTACACAGAGTATTAATTAGCCACAGACAGTAAGCTTATACAAGGAACACTCTTCCCTAGAGTATTTGCTTATAAGCAGTTATCCTCATCATCCAATTAAATACCATTATCCAGTGTGTGAATTCCAGCCATAAAAGTGGAACATAGTCTTCCCCTTAAATTAGTTTGAACCCAGCACCTTGTTCATTCTAAAACACAAGACACAGACACCAGCAGTCTACTGTTCAGTATCCTTCAGCTACTGCTCAGGAGCCCTCATTTATCTTTGCATTCCCCACGTCTTCCATTAGAAAACTGCAAATTATATTGTCATCACCTGGACACTTTAGCCTGGTACCAGTCCAGGCTGCTGCTGAAAGGCTACAACCTCATTCCTCCTTTCCACTTCTTCCTGCTCTCTTTCTTGTATGAGTGTTAGTATTTGTGCAACAAGTTGAACCAAGGAACCAATCAACTGAAAAGTGACCCCCTTTTGTTTTTCCAGCTGGATTAGTTCCCACAGAAGAAAAGTAGTAAGAAGGCAGATGCAGGGTGCGGTAACAGCATGTCTATTGACAGTAAAGGTACGCTGGTCTGAAGTGGTGTGGTAAGCACATTTAGCTACTAGTACTCCCAGAGTCAATCACCAATGCCTCCAAGGTGCTATTACACCCGCATGACCCATAAAAAGAACCCTAACTCCTGCTTCCTTTCTCATAACCAGAAGGAGTAGACTAGAACAACTGCTTTTATGTACTGCTGTGCTATACTGACTTCAGTGTAGCACTGCAAATGGCACTAACTTAACTTTGAAACTTACCCCTTTCTCCAGTGCAAGTGGAAGACAGGAACCAGATGTCATCACTGAATCATCATTGCTACCACAAATTTACAAATATCTCCCCCCCTTTTTTAATTTTAGATGACAAAAAAGAGCATCTTTCATCTAAGTTGACTTCAATGCCTATACATGTACATTTTTAAAATATAAGCTGCTGAAGTCTAAGGAAATAGCTAAATAGAACCTTCACAAAGTTGATTACCTGAGGTGAACAGAGCTTTTAAACTCCTTACTACATCTGTATTTAAGAAAACAGCATATTAGTTCTGATTCTTCACACACATTTTTGATCATGCTGCAGTACTTGTATGTAACTTTAAATAGCAATAATCATTAAACCTTTACCAAGTGACACATACAACCTTATTTTTATTCCTTCTTTGGCATTACAGCACATGGAATATGAGCACTAATTGGAAACAGAAAGGCAGCATGCTATAGACATTAACTGTTCAGTTTTGACTCACAAGTACTCTGCTACTGCAACAGCAAGCGCTTCATCAGAATGTTACCAGTTAGGCCAAGCTACAGAAGCTAGTGCTTCTGAAGCTATGGTCTACTGGATGAAAGAAAAACAGCGAGGTTCATTTTATACGAAAATTGGAACAGCTTTAGATGCATAGTTTAACAGATGACATGTCAGATAGTTTCTGTGTTAGACCTCAAAAATCCTGTACTCTTCCTCAACCCTCCTCCCACCCTTCCCTCCACAAGCAGATGGCATGGATTATTTCTCTAATTTATTGCAGAAGTTTATCAAAATTTAATAGTAAATGCAGTATAGCTTAAACAGCTGGAGACTACAGAAGTCCTGTAGTAACATCCTTAATAAATTGAGTGATACTTCAGCATGGTCCTGACCTCTGCTGCTACACAAAATAACCTAGTCAAAGCTTCAGACCCTTTTAACCTTCCTAACTTACCTGCTAGTGTTTTATGGCAAATATGCTTTGGGTTGTATTTAAATGTTTATCAGAATACTGCTTACTGAAGCTGGAATAGGGAAAGTGCTCACTTACATTTTATGTCTGCATACATATGGCTGACTGTGAATCGGTCTTTGCCTTCAGGTGCCCATGCTATCCTTTCAGCCATAAGGTAGAGAGCTCCATCCTGCTTCTTCTGACGTACCTTCTTTACAATCAGTAACACTTCTTCAGATGATGTTGCCATTGTGTCTGTAAGGAGCTATTAAAAACACAGTCGAGCTGGTTAGTATAATTATATTTGCTGATACACTTTCAATACTCCTATCTATATCAAAGTATTACACCCACATTTACTTAATGCCTACATCATTTTTTAAATATTCCAGATAAACATGCTTCCCTCTGTAAGTGCAATCAAGAAATTTATTTAAATACTGACAGCTACCTAAATAATTCACCTTAATTGCTGATACTGCTTTCGCTTCAGTAAAAAACGTGCAAATCTTAAACCAATAACAAAATTTTCCTGTTTTAATGTTCCTTTACTGTTTTTTCAAGTTCAGAAGGATACTCAAGCTCAGAAATGGCACAAATTCCAAATCTCCTCTGGCATTTGGCAGCAGTTCTCTTCTTCAGTGTGAATGGCAGATGTTAAGTCATTTCAGAAAAGGGAAGGATACAAGGTATGTGAAAAATAGCAGTTCTCTGTGCTAAAGTAGCCCAGCTACACTCCTGTTCTTACTGTGGTGGGCTAGAACAATGTTTTGCACACTTTATTCCAGCTGGGCAGTTTCCCATCCCTCTCCTCCGAAGTCCGAGGGACTAATGTTACACCTATTTCATCACAGCGGTAATTCTGTTGCCAGTCTCACATCAACAAGACTTTTGCGTTCTTCTCCCCCCAGCAGTCACTATAATTCATCTCTGCAGGTTGAGTCTACAGCCTTAAATTTCTCAAGAGATAAAGGATACCATAAGTATCACCACATTCTATGAACATACTGTTATACACCTATCAAAAGATTCCATCTTTGGTACGTTCGCTGTAAATGTTTAGTCTGTCCAACTGCTGTATCTTGTACATCATAAACTTTACTATCAATATGTGAAACGCTATTCAAATGCTGATATGCATGTTCTTTGGCAACACAGTCTAGTGTGGCGTGTCCCTGTCCACGGCAGGGGGATTGGAACTTATATGATCATAAGGTTCTTTCCAACCAAAACCATTATATCATTCTATGTTTCATATGCTTTAGAATACCTGTAATATTTGCTGGGGTCCACATCAAACTTCCATCAACAATCTGCATCAGCTATTGCACTACTAGTAGGTATCTTAAAAAAAAAAAAAAAAAGCAGCAAGATAGGGTATTTACTGTGACAACCTGGACAGCAGCAGAGCATTCTCTTCAGCAAGTCTTACATACCCATCTCTGAAATTAGTTAAGTAAAATACTAAATTGAAAGACTTAATGGCAAAAGGGCTCTGCACTTAGGCTTCACTCCATCATTTCAGTCCTCCAAAGCTTTGCCAGAGACTTCAGTGATACTGAGCTGATACTGAATGTGGGGTTGCACATCAGCACTACTGCAGCAGTCACTGGAACAAGTTGTGCCACATTCAGAGCAGCCCTGCTAATACTTCTCTCTCAAAGAAAACTGTATGGCATGATTTCAGGACCGTTTCCTAGCACGATGCTTTACAGTCTCCCCAGCATCATTATTCTCTTCCAGTGCTATTCACCCTATCATTTTATAATTTCCAGTTGCATGTCTTAGTCTCTCATCAGGTCCTTATCCTTACTGGGAAAAAGGCAGCTGGCCACAGACTAATAAACAGTATATGCAAGACTAAGTATTTTATATATATACATATATGTAATATACATATAATCAATATATATATTTTATATATATATATGTATATATGTAATATACATGTAATCAATATATGTATTTTTATATATATATGTATATACACACACACAGAGCTCAATATATGCAAGAGTAAGGATTTTTGACTTTTTTCTCCCTTTATTACTTTACAGTCCTTTAAGGTCATTATTACCCAATGCAGTAGAGACAAATCAACAGAATGCAAACAAATCAAACCTGTACTGAACAGATAGAAAAGGGAAAGTGTTTCCATAGCCTCATCTCTGATGCAAGTTGCTTTGCTCTTCTACCATACTATTTCACCCACCTACAACCAGTCTTTCTACTACAGAAGACAACGATCGGCACCTAGCAACTTCTCCTTTACAAGCACAACCTTCTAGAACAGTACCCTGCAGTGTGCAGTCTGTGAACTCACAATTATCCCAGGAGAAGCTCATTCTACCTTCTGGGAGGATGAACACACTAGCTCACAGCTGTTCTTACTTGTGTCACTGCTCTGCATCCTTTTTCATGCAGTAATTTACAGTGGCAGTAGGATGATACAACTCAGAAGCTCAGTAAGCATTACCCAAAATGGAGAAAACCCCAACTGTCTTTTGACGAGTACATCAGAAAGAATAAAAAATTGAGGAAAGTTACCATCTCTCACTAATGAAAACAAAATGGCTTCTTGTTACAACTAGTACAGGGAAACTTCTAAAATAGAAATCTCACCTAGCTGCTAAAAAAGCATGAGGATGGTCCCCTACGAACTGCACAGGGTAAGGCCACATCCTCACTAAGGACACACAGCACACAATTTTTTTCTCTTTGGATGCTTACGGCTTACTATGCAGTCAGTTGAGAGTCATCAATGGTCTATTTGTGCCTGCCCAAACCTCCTAACCTCTATATTTAACAACTCGAGTTTCCAAGAATCAGTACTGAGGATGATGACACTGCTGCTCAAAGGGGCAAGAACTGAAACATGCACGAACTGAAACGTGCACACAAGAGAAATTCTGTTATTTTACAGCATTAACTATAATGTTAACCTGCTACTAAAACCAGAAGCATTAGAGTTCTTTAGCTGCAGACTTTAGAAGACAGATATTTCTCAGGTTTCAGTATCTTCCAGAATAGGAAGGTCAGGAATGCTTGATTTTGAATTCTCCAGCAGCAGAGCTTTTGAAATGATGATAAGGAGTTCTAGAAAGCACTTGGATCAATCCATAGCCCTAACCCATGGGGTATGACCTGTCATCAACCATGCCTTGAGGGTATTAATCTCAGGCGCAGTTTACAACTTTCTATCAGAAAGTCTCAGTATTGGCATAAAAAGTCAACATGAGGTCCTCCTGTTTGCTCACCCACCTACAACTCCCAGATCTATGAGAGTGGACAGAACTTCTGGAAAGACTGTCCAATTCCAACAGCTGCCCTTCCTCTTAATACACCAACTCTTTCTAACCACTTTTAAAATTGGATACCTCTCTTGTCTGTTACTTATACCACCTGGTCTGAATGCTCTCCATTACCAGCATTTCACTCCAGTCTCTTCCCATGTGGTTTTGTTGAGCTCTAATCAGAAATAAAGGAAACATTTACACATTGTAACAATCCTGATCCGGTCAGGGCAGATACAGGCAGGCAGGCAAGCTCTGATAGAGCTGATGCAGGCCCTGCTGCTAGGCTTCCACTCCCTGCAGGGAACAGCAGAGTATCCACGCTAATAGTCCAGACTGAACCGCAGTGGCACAGGTACGCAGCAGAACTCTGACAGTTTGGGTGGGGCCGGGAGCCGGCAGAGCAGCACCCCGAGGGGCAACATCGGGCCTGCCAGTGGAATACAGCCTACGGTAACGCTGGGAGCTGCCAAGTGCCATTTGTCTTGGATACCGGCAAGCATCGCGATAAGCTGAGGGAATCCACATGAGGTTTGTGCCCCTGAGCCCATCTGAAGGGTCAATTCGGCCTTCCTCCGCGATCCGCATCACTTGTGCTTCATACAGCGTTTCTGCCTGCAGCGAAACGTGCCCGAGGACATCCTGCGCGGCCCCGGCCGGGCACTGCTGGGGCTCTGTCCGACTCCTGGCGGCCCTGGCAGGCGGTGGCCGCTGTCCGGGAAGGCGCTGCGAGGGCACCTCTTTGTCTATCGCCCGCACCCGGCGCCCAGCGCTCCGGTGAAGCCCACTGCCCCCGCCGCGATCCCGCCGGCGGAGGGTTGCCTCCTCCCCGCCGCTCCCCTCCCTATGGGGCACATGCCGGTGGTTACAGCTGCGCCTCCCGGTTCCGTCCCTACGGCACCCGCGGCCGGCCAGGCCGCCACCGTTAAACAGCCACAGCCGGGACGGGTACGGAGGATGCTAAGGACCGCCGCGCCCCTCAGCCGGCGGAAGGGACGGAAGGAACCGCCGGGCAGCGCGGCCGTGAGAAGGATCGGGCCCCACTGCCCCCCCCCCCCCACCGAGATAATACCCGGCACCACCGCCTCCCCAACCCCGCGCCAGCTCGATCCTTACCGTGAGGGCGGTGCTGGGTGCCGGCTGCTGCCAGCGGGAGGGGCCCGGGGCGGGAGCGGGCGCTACGGGGGTCGGGCTGCTGCCGGGGCCATGGGGCGGGCAGGGAGAGGCCACGTGACCGGAAT